TTCAGGGCTCAGTCCCACAAGACTGCCCCCCACCCACCTCAGACGCCAACCACAAGTAGTGGGTCCCAGGTTACCCACACTTCTGTCCGTCTCGGCTACCAACCAGGCTTCCCACAACCATTCCTCAGGTTCAGTAATTTGCTAGGACGTCTCAGAACTCAGGGAACACTTGTGTTTACTGGTTTATTACAGAGGACGTCATAAAGGAGCAAGACGAGCAGCCAGATGAAGAAGTACATGGGGTGAGGTCTGGAAGGGTCCTGAGCACAGGAGCGTCTGTCCCCGAGGGGCTGGGCTGTGCCACCCTCCCCGCACAGGGATGTGTTTGCCAACGCAGAGGCTCTCCGATCTCCAGCAACTTGGAGATTTTTACAGAGGTTTTATCGTGTAGGCATGATTGACTGAACTCAGTCTCCAGGCCCTTTCCCTCCCCAGAGTGTCACGTGTGTAATCCAGGCTCCGTCTTCCTGGAGAACAGCTCCAGCCGGAAGCTGCCAAGAGTCACTGCATTAGAACCAAGACTTCCTCCCACCCAGGAAATTCCAAGGGCTTTAGGAGCTGTGTGTTAGATGCTCTCATCACCCCCAGAGCTCAGGAAATTACGAGGGTTTCAGGAGCTCCACGTGAGGAACTGGGGGCAGAGACTGAATATGTATTTAAGTCACAGCCTGCGACCCTGGCAGCTCCATCAGACTTTGGGTCAGGGACCCCCAGTGATGAAGCAGCTGGGACGGTGGGAAGTCTATGGCTGCAGGGAGAGGTGGCAATTGCTCTGAGACCCAGTCTCGGGGCAGCAGGCGCTGAGTTGTCAGTGGCTGCCAACTCCCCACCCCGCCCCAGACGGGCCCCTTGTTCATTTCCTTCCATAAACTCCCGTTAGGCTCGAGTTGGTCTGTCAGTGGTGCCCAGCTGATGGAGTGACCCGGGATCTCCTGCAGATCTGGCCGCAGTCCCAGCCTTTATTTTTTCACTGAAAGCCCGCAGTTCTGGAGATTACTCAGCCCCGGGCTGGGGGACTCCACCACGCTCTTCTGACTAAAACCAACTCATTGCTCTTGGAGAGAGAGGAAACCTTCTCTTGAAGCTTTTGATTTCTCCTCCTGTACTTCCAGCTCCTCCACCTACAGCTTTTCTGACGCAGAGGCGTCCTGCTCACCACATTCCCTCCTTCCTTTGGATGGAGCATCCCAAACATGAGTCCAGGCTGCAGGGCCGGCCTTGAGGGCCTGCGACCTGGGCGGCGGCACAGAGCCCCACGCTCAGAAGGGCCCCACGCTTCTTTCAACGCTGTGTTGCCACCGTCTTGAGATCTTAATGACTTTTGAACACGGGGCCCCACACTTTCATTTTGCACCGAGCCTGCAAATGATGCGGCTGGTCCTGCTGGGTTGTTTGGGTGAAGAGCAGATTTCTGGGTTTGACACCAAGAGTCTGACTGAGCCGGCCTGGGCTGGGCCCCAGGGTTGCTATTTTTTAACAGCTATATTGACATGCAATTTACACAACTTAAAGTCCACCCATTTAAAGTGTACAGTTCAATGCTTTTTTGGGTTTTCTTTTCTAACTTTTTAACTTCAGCTTTGTTCCCCGCAGGAGGTGCGCCGTTCCCGAGGCCCTGTAACACTGGGTCCACGTGCGGAGTGGACAGAGCAAGCCCTTATTCTAACTCCCTGCTACAAAAATCCATTTAATATATCATCCTCGGATAAGAAGACGCATCAGATATTAACCTGCTAAGAGCTGATGCTGCACTTGATTTTAGCCAAAAGGCTGAGAAGCGATTCGATGTTTTTTGAGTATAGTCAGAACTGTACCACAGCCACCACTAATTCCAGAACATTTTCATCACCCCAGAAAGAAACCTTGTGCCCATTAGCAGTCACTCCCTATTCCTGCCTTCCCTCAGCCTCCAGTAGCTCCTAATCCGCTTTCTGCCTCTATGGAGTTGCCTGTTCCGCACATTGCCTATACCCGGGGTCATACAACATTGCAGCCTCTTGCATCCGGCTTCTTTCACTCAGCATCATGTTTGCAAGGTTCATCCCTGTTATAGCCTCTGTCGGGGCTTCATTCCCTGTTGCTGCTGAGCATCGTGGGGTCAGCACGTTTTTCGCAGGCCGCCGAGGCCCGAGGCAGGGGGTCCACGTGAACAGAGACCCCATCATGAAGAAACAAGAAAAATGGGAGAGGGAGATGGGGGAGGAGACAAGGGCAGAAATTCGCCTCGAAACCAAGCACTGCTCAAGAGGAAGCAAGCCAATTCCCTTTTCTGACAACAGCAGCTTAGGACAGAGACGACCACAGGTGACAAGGGTGAGGAATCCTGTCACCTGGAACTCAGCTCACAAGAACTCTCAAACAATTAGAACTCCTTTTGGTGGTCATCCACCAAAACCCAGGAGGAGACAAAAAGAGAAGCAGATCTCCGTATTTTGTGACAAATTTAATATTTCCTCCACCAAATGATTTCCAGGGTCTGTCCTGTGCTTGAGACACTCGAAAATAATGACACTGAAAAACCAAGCGCTGCTGACTCACCAGGGAAGGGAAACAAATAAGGAACATCAAGGGTCACAGAGAAGCAAACAATCAAACGATAATATGACTTACTTTTTTCGGGGGAACATTTTGGGCTTAAACTTTAAAGCTTAAACGTTATAAAGGAAGAGCAGGGAATAGCAAGCTATAAGAAAAACATTTTTAAGCCATGTTGTTTCCTTATTCTGGAGAATTAAGAAGTGAGAGAAAAACCAAAAGGAAATAGAAGAGGCAATCAGATGATGAAAGAGAAGACGAGGAGGAGGAGAGGGAAGAGAAGAGAAAGATGCTTAAATGTGAAAATAAGAAATCAAACAGCGGGTAAATGTGAAACCAAGCTGAACCTCACCAAGTAACCGAGAAAGGCAAATAAACAGAAAGTGCTTTTCCTGCCCATCCAAACAGCAGAGATTATACAAGAGATCAGGCTTGACGGTGAGGCTGTGAAAGGCCTACTCAGCCACTTCCGGAAACAAGTATCCGCCTTGTACAAGATCCCCCCGGGGACCCCGTCCCCGCCTCGGTGTTCTATCCTGATGCAACTTCCTAAGGAGATGGTCGTGACTAGGATGGGACGGACACACAACAGCAATCAAGATAACTTCAAACACAAGGAAACAGGAGAGGAAGCAGCCTGTGTCAGTCCAGGCCAGCCGAGGCGGCGGGGATAGCAAGATGGGATTCGCCATGCATGAAGGTCTATCCACAGACAGGCCTGGAGGGGAAGTGGTCGGTGTGGGTGAGCGTGGAGGGAGAGGCGGGTCTGGTCCCTGCTGAAGGAAACAGGGAAGCAAGGAGGGGTGGGGGCAGCATCGCACTCTGAAGAGCCTTTCTAAGAGAGATCGGCGAGGCTGCCAGGAAATCCTCCAAGTCACTTGTCAGAGGAACCTCGTGCCTCTCAGGGGTGAGCCAGCCTTGGGGTCCCTGCCACCCTGACATTGGCTGGGAGAGGCCTGTGGGGGTGCCGGGAGTCTGCTTGATGGGCTGATGGATTTCAGAACACAGCAGCTGGGACCCTCAGTCCATTACGCTTCCCAAAGTAGACATCTGAGAAACACATTTTCACAGCTGCCATATGCCCAAATGACTAAAGATAAGGAAACGGCTAAGACACCAAAACAAAACAAAAACCATGGTGTCTCTATAAGAAGGCATCATTTGGCCATTCAAAATCATTTCCTCAAATTTAATAGTATGGTACAGTGCTCCAAATATGATGTTTATAAAAGCAGGATACAAAACTGTATTATGATGATTCCCCACTGAGTTTTTTAAGGGAGTGCATATGTAATTGTATATGGACAGAAAGCGAGACTGGAAAAATGCATCTTTGGGGACAAGGGTAATTTTCTTTATATTTTTATGTATTTTCCAAATTTTATAAAATCAGTATATATAATTTTAGTAATCAGTAAAATAAACACAATGTCAAATTTTGAAAGAATTAGCCATCAGAGAAATGTGGGTGAAAAATGGAGGGTTTTATATGTATTGGTAATGGCAAAATTCTTTGGCCACCCCAAGGCTTTCCACCAGAGTAGCAGATTTGTAAGGTTTGTTGTTTCTTCTCACTCATCTCGGAAATTAGACCGGAGTCCACTGTTCACAGCTCTTCATCTGCTCTTCAGACTTCTCACTGAATGGCACAATGGAAGTAGCCCATCAGGGCAGATTACTCCTTACACAGTGTAACTGATTTCTCAGTATGACCAATATTGCTTGCCTCAGCCATTTTACGGACAGTATTTCATAATGAGAAGGAATATTCAAAATGACAATTCTGAGGCTCTTGGAGATCCCAGACTTTATTCGTTTACTTATTCAAGGGCCCTAGAAGCATTCTTCCCCCGACAGCATTGGTGTAGAAGGAGATATTCTTGGGTTCTAGTCTCTGGTCCCCCACTTACTATGTGTGATGTAACCTTAGACAAATTACTTCAGCTCTCTACAGTATGCAGTTTAGTAGTGTGAGTGTGCCTGCAGATATGTGTATGCGTAGTTTTGTACATTCACAGAGTTGTGCAACCATCACTGCAATCCAATGCCAGAACATTTCATCGCCCCCCGGAGGAAACCCTAGGCAGTCACGTCCCGTTCTTCCTCTCCTTCGGCCCCTGGAAACCAACGCTCTATTTCCTGCCTCCATGGATTTGTTTATTCTGGACCTCCCCTTCATTTCAGTGGAATCGTACCATACGTGGCCTTTTTTGGTCTGATTTCTTTCACTTGGCCTAGGGTTTTCCACATTCAATCATGCTTAGTCAGCACTTCATTCATCAATTCAAGGACATTTGAGTTGTTTCCACATTTGGCTATAATAATGCTGCTCTGAATCCTTGTACACAACTGTCTAAGTCCCTGAATGGAATTGCTGGGCCACCTACGAACTCTCTGTTTAACTTTTGGAGGAACTTCCAAACTCTTCCACAGCCACCGCCCCATGTTACACTCCCACCAGCCATGTGCAAAGGTTCCAGTATCTCCACGTTCTCAACAACACTTCTTATTTTCCATTTGTTGTTTTTTGTGTGTTTGTTTTTGTTATTGCCCCCTTAGTAGGTGTGACGTGGCATCTCATGATGGTCTTTAATATGCATCTCCCTAGTAACTGACTAATGAAGTTGAGCTTCTTTTCTTGTGATTATTGGCCATTTGTGTATCTTCTTTAGAGAAAGATTGATTCAAATCCTTCATCTGTTTTTAAGTTGTGTTGTCTTTTTTTAACATTTTTTATTGAGTTGTAGTTATTTTACAATGCTGTGTCAAATTCCAGTGTAGAGCACATTTTTCAGTTATACATGAACATATATATATATATATATTCATTGTCACATTTTTTTTTTTAATTTGCTGTGAGCTACCACAAGACCTTGTATATATTGGGTTGTCTTTTTGTTGTTGAGTTGTAAGAGCTTTCTTTTTTACGTTCTGGATACCAGCCCCTTGTCTTTTATATGATTTACAACTTTTTTCCATGCTATGGCTTGTCTTTTCACTTTCTTGATAGTGTCCTCTGACACACACACAGTTTTTTATTTTTGATGACATGTATTCTATTTTCCCTTTGGTTGTTTGTGCTTTTGATGTGAAGTCTAAGAAACTGTTGACCAGTCTAAGGTCATGAAGATTTACACCTGTTTTCTTCTAAGTCCAACATCATTTTCTGAAAAGATTATTCTTTCCAAGAGTCTTGGCTTCCCTGTCAAAAATCATCTGACAACAGATTTACAGGTTTATTTTTGGACTCTCAATGGAATAGAATTCCACTGATCTACACATCTATCTTGATGCCAGTATCACTCTGTCTTCATCACTGCGGCTTTGCAGTAAGTTTTTGAATTGGAAAGTGTGAGCCCTCCAACTCTGTACTTCTTCTCAAGATTGTTTTGGCTATTCTGGGTTCCCTGAATTTCCATACGAATTTTAGAACCAACTTGTTCGTTTGTGCCAAGAGGGTAATTGTAATTTTGACAGGGGTTGCACTGAATCTGTAGCTCACTTTGGGGAGTATTACCGTCTTGGCGATTTTGTCTCCCAATCCATGAACATAGGCTGTCTTTCCATTTATTTAGGTCTTTATTTTTCTTCAACATAAAAAAACTGAGGTGAAATTGACATAACATGAAATTAATCATCTTAAAGTGTACAGTTGAGAGGCATTTAGTGCCTTCACAATCTCCTGTAAGTACCACGTATATAAAGTTCCCAAACTCTGTCATCACCCCCAACAAGAGGTCCCTGACCCATTAAGTACACTCTGACTTTCCCTCCCCGCTGCCAACACCAATCTGCTTTTTGGCTCTATGGGTTTACCTATTGGATATTTCATATGTATGGCATCATACACTATGTGGCCTTTAGTGTCTGTTTCCTTTCACACAGCATCATGTTTTTGAGGTTCATCCATGTTGTAACCTGTGCTCCTTTTTATGGCTGAATAATATTCTTCAATGACGTTTTGCAGTTTTTAGTGTCAAAGTCTCACACTTTCCTGATTGAATTTATTCCTAAGTATTTTACCCCCTTTGATGCTACTGTGCAGGGAATTGTTTTCTTAATTTCATTTTTGGGTTGTCCATTGCGGACACCCAGAAATGCAGCTGACTCTTGTATATTGATCTTGTGTCCTGTGGTCTGGATGCACTTGTTCACCAGCTCTTATGTGGGTGCGTGCGTGTGCGCCTGCACGTGCACATAACCCTTAGGGTTTTCTATAAAAAGCATCGTGTCATCTGCACAGAGAG